GAGTTGCGTTCTTATAATCGATAACACATAGGCATCAGATATGGGCCCTCAGTCTATTTTGATAACCTCCAGTCATGGTAAAAGATAATAAGAGATTGAAATCATTTCAAATTAAAACGTACTTTGGATCCAAGAAGAAAAACCAGCATGTTTCAGAAATGAGTTTTAAATGAAGGGGAAATCTTTCATGGCTCATACTTCTTCACACATTTATGGACTGCGTATTGTTCCTCAGTGTTTATGGCACTTGGAAAGGTCAGCTTGCTCTCCTAGTTGGGTTTGTTTAAAGCTAACATTAAGTTCATTTGCATTCCCTGAACACACGTCTGCAATGGTGATGAGCACTTGAGGGAAACGGACCTTGGATGAAACATTTGCTGACAAACAACCAAGTGTGCCGTCCCCACGCAGATGATGAAGTGAGACGGCAGGGATGAGGCGCCCTGGGCAGGCCAAGCCCAAGACAGCCCCCAAGCGGCATCATTTCTAGAAACTCACAGATACAGGAGGGATGAGTCGGGATGTAAATCCAACCGGGGCAGGCAGAAAGCATCTGAGGAAGGACCGTGTGTGGTGAGAATCATTCCATGAGCACGACTCCAAGACCTGAAAGTGACCTTGAGTCACTTTGAAGGAGACAAATCCTCCCTCCTGCCTCTCCTTCCCTCTGTCCCGACCACATTGCATGAGGCACCTGAGGTGGTTTCTGGGACTATGCAAAATGAAGTCAAGGGGAGTATGGGACATCATTACCCAGGCCCTGAGGCCTCCCCGAAGGTGGAAATCTCAGACTAAACATCTTGGCAACCAGGAGTGAACAGCCCAGGGGAATCAGGAGCCCCAGCTCCTTCAGAGAATTGTAGGGTGTCTTCTCTGTCGTTCCTGAATTTACTGTGTCCCACGGATCACATAGGCAGGCACAGAAGGCTGCCCGTCAGCCAAGCACAGTCAGTCACAGGGTTGATGCTCACTGGTTGCAGGCACAGCCCAGCACCTGCACACAAGTCTGGGCCACGCAATCCCAGGCCCCATGCTAGAGACATGGGAACTAAAATGCAATGGGACTCGCCTGAATTATATACAGCAAGAGCGAGCTGAGTGCAGGTTGCAGCTTCAATGTTTACTCGTGCCTTGGCCACGAAATTTTGGAGAGGGGACACCCAACCAGTAAGAAATTGAGTGATGTCATTGTCGCTGCTTTTACTCCAAGATAGTTAAAAAATACGCAAAACTGCTGGATCACATGGAAGCTCCATGTTTAGCAGTTTGAGGAACCTTCACACAGCTTTCCAGAGTGGTTGGACCAGTTTGCATTCCCGCCAGCAGTGCAGGAGAGTTCCTTTTTCTGCACATCCTGCCAACATTTGTTGTTGCTGGTTGTTTTTAATAGGTGCCTTTCTCACCGGTGCGAGATGGTATCTCATTGTGATTTTGATTTGCATCTCCCTATAAACCAGAGACACTCTACAGGGGTGGAGAAGGGAACAGCATCAAAACCGGGGCAGGAAGAGTGCCCGGGACTGTGGTGATGGCACAGGGGTGAATTGGTGGTGGGAAGTCCATGGGGATCACAACTGAGATGAAGAAATGTATAAAATGAAGAATAATATAAAAATGTATTTAAAATTTTAAAAATATATATGCAGAAACACAGAGAAGAGTAAAAGATACACTGCCCAGGCACCAGATTGCCGTGCTTTGCTGTATTTCTTCCAACTTTGAAAACGCAGCGTGATTCAGGCCCACTGCCCCCCTTGTTCACCATGGGCCCAGAGGTGGGGTGGAAACCATGTCCTCACTGTTGTTTCTGGAACAAATGTGGTTTTCACAAGACTGGCTGAAGTGGCATCTCTGGAAAGCCAAGCATAACATAGATCTGGAGTTCAGCCCAAATAATCCCGAGCGAGCATGCTGGAGCGG